AGTGCTTGTTGTTTGTAATTTCTCCAATAACAAATGCAGACATGGTTTTATGTTTACACGGTGCGATGCAACGCAACGTGTAAAAAGACAGTATAAGTCATTATAATCCATAATTATGTCCCCACTGGATGCAACAAATGCCTCGTTTATAATAGATTTTAATGTTTTTGTCTCGTCGCTCCGGCCGGACAGGGCATCACAGTATGGTAAGGGGCGTAACATTTCCGTCACACGCTTGAGGAATTCGGCCAATCACAACGCACTGAATAGCTGGCCAATCAGAGCACACCTCGCTTTTCAGACCGATGAGCTTTGTAAAAATTGACACGTTTCAGAAAGGCGGGGCATAGAGGAGAAATAATAATGTACAGTATGTGGAAAATAATGTGTTTTTTGAACCTTAAAACCGCATAAACACATTTCATTACACCAAATACACAAAATAATGTTCTTTTTAGCAGCATCATATGGCCCCTTTAAAGGAGTGGACACGAAAATCACGGGAGTGAAACACATGTTATGGGAGCGGGATTAAGAAAACGGCCGAATCCCGGACATTTTGGGCAAGCGGACGCATTTTTTGTAGGTCCAAAAAGAGGACATGTCCGGGGAAAAGAGGACGTATGGTCACCCTACCTTCTGTCCCTCATGTTGTCAGAAATCACTGGCTGTTCACTGTAAATAGCCTACAGTACAAACATTCCTTTAGGAGGTATCATAATCCCAGAATGCATTGTGATGAAAAAGTCCTTATCAGATGGCCTAAACGTGTAGTTAAAAATAGTTCAGTCTAACTAGAATCTTGTTTTATTTATAGCCTATCAGCGTGTAATATTGAAATCAGTTGTGAGTTGAGTTTTCTGTGCATTTGAGTCATTTATAGAATGTGCCAAATGTCAGATAGATTCACTTAGGCAGTAGACACTACGCAGCAATGCACTGATGAATTCTTCACAAAAAGACCAGAAACGTGTTAAGAAAGTACATGGGCAACATGAACTCAGTATTGACCCCATATCACACCTTCTGTGGCCTCCATCTCTAGAACGAAAACCTACAGCTGGGCTGCTAGAGTTAGTGAACAGAGGACTTATTTTCACAGAGCAGTTCCAATAAAGCTCACATCATAATATGTTTATTAGGGTTTCTGCTGCATTTCCTGTTTGATTTACTGTGCAGTCCCAGGGGCTGATGGGTAATTGTTGCATACTCCCACTATGAGGCAAAACCTGCTCTTATTGTGTCAACCTGTTGAGTCTTCATTTATTCTGCAGGTAAAATATTGAGTTGAGTATTCTCAAAGCATGGCTATGATCAGAAAAGCATGCTAACATACTACTCTTTATGCAGTATGTATACTGTATATATGCAAAATTCCTGCATGTTAATGCCAAGATGTCATCCACCATTTTTACACTCTAAAAAATGCTGGGTTAAAAAGGCACAAACCCAGCTATTGGGTCAAAACAAACCAATAGCTGGGTTTGTCCCTTTTTATCCCAGCGCTGGGTTATATTTAACCCAGCATTTTTTAGAGTGTAACATCGGTTATTGTGGACTACCTAATATAAAGTTGTGAAACCTAATAAAAGAGGACATGGCAGTTTTTGAATTGGGTTATATTTTTATGCGTTCTTTTTTCAATTGAGAGTTTTAGTAATTTTGTTTTTGTAATTGTTTTCCTTTTTTTAATAATGTCTATAATTTTCATGAACTCTTAGTTTTTAGTTTATTTAGTTGTTTTAGTACTTCAACTTGAACTAAATGAAAATGAGAAACATTACCATGGCAACTAGCTGAAATAAGTTTTTTTATATATATATAAGTCGTGGCCTAATGGTTAGAGAGTCGGACTCATAACCCAAAGGTTGCGGGTTTGAGTCTCATACCGGCAGGGATTGTAGGTGGGGGGAGTGAATGTACAGCGCTCTCTCCCACCTTCAATACCACGACTGAGGTGCCCTTGAGCAAGGCACCGAACCCCCAACTGCTCCCCGGGCGCCGCAGCATAAATGGCTGCCCACTGCTCCGGGTGTGTGTTCACGGTGTGTGTGTGTTCACTGCTGTGTGTGTGCACTTTGGATGGGTAAATGCAGAGCACTAATTCCGAGTATGGGTCACCATACTTGGCCACATGTCACGTCACTATATATATATATATATGTATTTTTTTTTTTGTTCAGTTAATGTTGATTTTATTTTAAATATATATTTAAAATAATTGTAGTTAATTATAATAAACCCCGGGACATAATAGCTTTAAGATTACTATACATTTTAATGTACATTTTGAGCAGAACACTAGGTGTTTTTTTAGGGATTGTTGGTAACAACTTTGTAGCGTATATAGTATATTAAGAACATTCAAGTGATCTTACCAGATTCAATTTTATGATCTAAAAAACAAACAGGAGAAGTTTGTCTGTCATTGGAACACATTTCAGTCAAGGGTCTCTATAGTGTAAAGAATTTTATTTAACATTTCCATGAAATTTGAAACCTGCTATTATACAGTACACATTAAAATATTTAACTTCACATAATTTAAAAGAAAAAAAAAGTTATTTCCCCACTTGCAATAATAATGGACTGCTGTGAGTTCGACAACAAACAGTTGTGCTCAGTTTAGCAAACAATTCACACAACTGCAAAATTGTGTATTTTTCCTGTTCCATATATTACAGTTATGTACATACTCGCCTTCATCTCCTGACACATGTATATGCATATACAGAGTTTCTAAGAAAAGCAACACAAGTCATTTACTGTACTGTATGTTGAATTGTTTAGAGCTATTTACATTTAAACTTACCCTCATCCTGAAGTCTGAGTAAACGAAGTATGAAACGAAGTTTCTCCTTCCATCATCTCTAAAAATGCCTGCAAACAACACAGGGACGTTTTCAGGCAATCCGGGATCACCGAGGTCATTGGTGATTTACCTCCATATGGGCGAGACAGATTTCCATAAGCTTCTCAGAGAGTTCATCGGGAAGTCAAAGCACCTTCTCAGCTTTACACCGCCAATCCCCGCAGATCGACTCATTAACAGGGCCTTAACACCTGCCTCTATTTACCCTTAAACACGCTTCTAATACGACTCCATCCCACCTTCCACCCGGGAGCTTATTCCTCATAGAAGAAGCGCTCGTCTGACTCGGCCTGTGCTGTGGATATTCTTTAATGCACATTAACACAAAGATTCAGAGTACAATACAAACAGTTTAATTGTGTCATTAACAATCAGTAACCACTCCTAGTTAGAACATTTCTGCATAAAGAAACTGAGAAAAACACTTATAAAACAGTCAGTCGTAACAAAATAACTGTTCTCATTGCAATAAACTCATAAAAAAGAACCACTTTTTTATACATCATATTTATACAGGAATAGCTTTGAATTGTTAACCAAAGGAAGACACATTGCAAACATCGATTTCACACAAATTGCATATGTTTTTCTCTCTAAGGTGGTCTCTATAGGTTTTTTCCTAAGCTTATTTGCATGATAGTAAAAATTGCATACAACATTAATTGTGAAGCTCGTAGCATGAGTTGCTTGACATACAGCACTTTTTTAGGCAACCGTTAAAGCACATTTTCCATTTAAAACGTTAAGACACTTCTGATTTTACCGCCCATTAAAATTACATTTATAAATAGAAAAAGATCAGTAAAACGAAAAGCGCCGGGTGACGGAAATGTTCCTAAAACGTAATTACATCGGAACGCAAAATAAATAATGCAGGATGATGCTTGTGATTCACATATGAAACTGTGGAAATCCAGGATTTTACAGTGACCAAAGTTTTGCAAAATAATCTAACATCGGCAGTGCCATATAGTACAAGGCATTCGTTGGCATAGTTTCTTTAAGACTGTATACTTTTTTACAATTAATATAGGTCTATATATATATATATTTATATTTCTTCAAACCAAATAATAAGAGTGAGCCGTTTTCCCCCGGTTTACCTGCAGGTCGGAGGGATCCAGAGACTGAGCCATCCTTTTTATTTCAAAGAGAATAACTCATTAGCCAGCAGTGCTCGACTCAGTACCTCATCATTAAGGCCTTTGTCTACCCCTCTTCTCCAATTTCATGCATTTTTTTTTTCTTAAAAATCCAGTTAACACCACATACGTAAACATCAATGTCTATCAAAGTCCGTTGACTTTCCTTTTTTTAAAATCAGTAGCTCAAAATCAGTGTAAAAACAACAGACAACAAGTGCAGTCAGCAAATATCCACAGCAACATACTGTTCACTTAAAGGAATAGTTCAGGCAAACATGAAAATTCTGTCAGAAAAGTGATTTCCGAAGAATATCCAACCACTCTTTTCTATATAATGGTAGTGAATGAGAACTGGGGCCATCAGTGCAGTTCAGATAACCAATTTGTGATATTTATACTGTGGACATGATTTAAATTTACTCATACCATGATAACCATAACAAAATGATCAAATGAAATAATGAAGAGAATGAGAGAAGTGAGAGAAATAAAAAAATATATTTTTTTTTGTATTTACTGTAAAAATAATCATACTAACATGCTTTTAACGTACTGTTAACATGAAATAAAATTACTCATACCATAATATATAATTTTGGTCATGTCGCTCACCTCCAACACATCTAGAATAACTCAAGTGTATAATAATTTCAGTTTTTTTTGCACTGATGTCAGACTTGATTGGTTATAATTTAATTAATTATAATGATAATTAATATAATGTATTATATATATATATATATATGTATATATATATATATATATATATATATATATATATACACACACACATATATACATACATACATACATATATATATATATAATATATATACACACATACATATACACACACACATACATACACACAAACACACATAATTAATATAATGTATTGGTTTGAGTCCATTAGGTTCATAAAATAAAATAAAGTGAGAGAGATGAAAAATAATTTTTAGTTGTATTTACAGAAAAAAAAACTGTGATATATACCATTACCATGCTATAAAATTACTTTGATAAAACTTCATTTTGCGCATTCTGGAGCTTGACTGCCCAAGTCGCCATTCACTTAAAAAAAGGAAACAACAGTTTCGACAAAAATGTTCATTTAGGAGTGAACTACTCCTTTAGGATTTTTCTTTTTACATTTTGTTTCGTTGTGCAGATTATTGAAATGATGCACGAGTCTCTACAGTGAAATAATCCACGCTTTACAAAACTGTGAAAGTTAATCATCTCTGTATTATTCAGTCTCGTGTAAAAGGTCTTACAGTTTCGCTCATGGAACACAGACAGGAGTGAACGAGAATAAGATTTGAAGCAAAAGCAAGCCGTCCGTTACTCTCTCGCCTCCTGCTCCGTTTGGGCCCGTCCCATGGCGTGCGTTTCGGGCGCCAGGTGCTCTTCCATTTTAATGGAGAACATTGTGCTGTTGGTCTGCACGCTCTCTTCCAGCTCGGTCAGCAGCTCGCCCTCCTTGAAGTCCGTCAGGCCCTCGTCCTTATTGTTGTTGGAGGGGAAGCCCAGGGGCGGCTCTTTCAGCTTGCCGGCGTGGTTGATGTAGAAACGCTGGTTCTGGAAGAACTTGATGATGGTGTGTTTGGGCAGGTCCAGCTGTGCCGAGAGCGTGTGGATGGCCTCCTCGTCCGGATACAGGCCCACGTCCTGAATGAAGCTCTGCAGGATGCCCAGCGCCTCCATGGAGATGCGGTTGCCTTGGCGGCTCTTGCAGCGGGTCTCGTCCTCGATCTCAGCGGGCGAAGCCATGGAGGGCTGCCGTGGGGGCAGCCGCGGTCCCATCTGCTGCAGGGGCTGCTGGGATGGAGGAGGCTGTGAGGGGTGCAGCAGGGGCAGGGGCAGCGGCGCTTGGAGCTGAGAGGAAGGCTGTTGATGAGTCTGAGAGGGACGAGAGACAGACAAACACGCTACATGTCAAATTCAAGTCAAGTTTCTGACAGTTCTGAATGCATCTGAACTCAAGTGTCCATTAATTATATTGCACTTATTTATTTGTTTGGAATAATTTGATCTATTGGATTAAGTCCATTAATATAATAAAACAAAACACTTAAAACATTTTTTTTTTTTTTTTACTTTTTAGTGTCCAACCACATAACTTTTGAATGAGTCTGTAAAAAATCTAGTAACAATGATACTATGAGGTTGAGGTCCTTCCTTCAATGCAAGTCTATGGAATTAGCTTCACATTGTAAGATCTTTTTAACCGTGGTAAAAATCACTAATGCAAGGCATCTCATGTTTTATGGCTTTATTGTGCATGCATTTAAATTTCCATTTATTTAAATGCTCGGTAAAATAAGGTCTTAACATTAGTCAATATGTTTTTTTGAAGTGCTTATTCATAGTGCATTAATGTTTAAATGCAACATTTTCATATTAAAAATCTACTACTGAAGTTGTAAAAAAAACATCTAAAATAAAATTGTAATAAAATTCATGTTTAATTCATTGTTTCATGCCATATCTATAATGCAGTAAATTGTAGCAGTAAATGTTGAAATTAACATGAACTAACATGCTGTTAGGAGCATGTTCATTGTTAGTTTAACGTTAACTACTGTAGTTAATTGAAGTTAACTAACAAAACCTTATTGTCAAGTGTAGTCAAATGTTTCAGTAGACATCTGATCTGCAAATCTTTAAACCTCCAGTAGTCATGCATGGATCTCGTCGCCATTAGTGGTGAAAATGGAAGTGAATAAATGTTTTTCTTCCCCGCATGCTATTTTCTTGGAATGACCATATGCTTGCGAGTAAACAAAATAATATCTGATCAAACACGCAGCTGTAACCACAAGAACTGTGGGATTTTTGTGATTAAATATGGATTCAGAATAGTGATGAATTTATTAAAAAAGCTTGCCGTCTTTAATATCTAAATGCAGACAAATGATGTTGCTAATGACTGTTTTGCTTGCATCGCAGCGGAGCGCAAAATTACCAGCGTTTGAAAAAGTACAGCACCTCCTAACTTCAAATGATCAAAACAGACTTAATTAGACATGTTTTTGGTAAAAATGGCATTACCATATGGTTACCATTTGTAAACCATTTCAAGTTGAATTACCAGCAAACAAACAAAAAAAAACTCTAATACTACACTCTCAGGAAAAAAAGCGGTCACATTTAGGCACTAATATGTTCATCTGAGGCACTAATGTGCATCTTTGTACTAATATGCACTTTTTAGATTTAAATAATGGATGAAGGTGTACCTTTTGAAAGGGTTCCAGCCAACTGTTTTGTACCTTTTTTTCGGAGTGTATATTGTGTGTGTTTGAGACACTGACCTGTAATGGGTCGGTGGGCATATGCAGCAGGTGAGGAGGTCTGTCCGTATAGTGCTGCTGTCCTCCGTTGCTCTCCTGCTCATATATAGCGTCCCGTTCCAATTGGGACAAACTGAGGAACCGGCGGATCATGGACAGGTTCTCCCAGAGCGTGCGGTTCTCCGGGGACGGGTCCTCTTTCCAGCGCAGCAGTTCACAGAGCCAGCCCTGCAGGAGAACACGAAGACGACATGTCAGATGTGAAAAGCAACAACTAAACAATTAATTCAGGCAAAAATGAAATACGAATACGTTTCATGTTTCATGTCACGTACGCTAAAACTTTGGGGTCGGTAAGATTTTTGAATGTTTTCGAAACAAGTCTCTTGTGTTCACCAAGGCTGCATTTATTTGATTAAAAATTCAGTAAAATTGTGAAATATTATTATAATTCTAAATACCTGTTTTCTGTGTGAATATATAGTGAAATGTAATTTATTCCTGTGATCAAAGCTGAATTTTCAGCATCATTACTCCAGTCTTCGGTGTCACGTGAACCTTCAGAAATCATTCTAATATGCTGATTTGCTGCTCAAGAAATATTTCTGATTATTATCAATGTTGAAAACAGCTGTGCTGCTTTATATTTTTGGTAACATTGTTGTATATTTTTATTTCAGGATTCTTTCATGAGTAAAAGTTCAAAAGAACAGCATTTATTTAAAATAGAAATCTTTCATAACATTTTAATAGTTTTAACTGTCACTTTTGATACATTTAATGCATCCTTACTGAATAAAAGTATTAAAAATCTTACTGAACCCAAAGCTTTAAACATTTTTTTTTTCCATTTTGCATAAATTTTCATTTAATAATAATATATATATATATATATATATCTCTAGTGGAAAATTACATCAAATACAAGAGTATCGTGGCAATTTTAACATTACACCTTTCCTATACATTTTCAGAAGATAATTCTTATATTTCAAGAGTTATACTATGCATGGCTGCAATGCAAAGCAAAAACATTATAACATAAGGAACATGTTGCATAATCAATATTCATGAGTCTACCAAGATTAATAACTTCTCACGCAATACCTTTATAAATAAAGCCTTAAACAAACAAAAATATGTATGTGTGACCCTGGACCACAAAACCAGTCATAAGGGTCAATTTTTGTAAATGTATCATCTGAAAGCTGCATAAATAAGTTTTCCATTGATGTATGGTTTGTTAGGATAAGACAATATTTGGCCGATACACAACTATTTGAAAATCTGGAATCTGAGGGTACAAAAAAAAAAAATCTAAATATTGAAAAAGAAAATCGCTTATAAAGTTGTCCAAATGAAGTTCTTAGCAATGCATATTACTAATCAAATTTTTTTTATATATTTACAGTAGGAAATTTACAAAATATCTTCAAGGAACATGATCTTTACTTAATATCCTAATGATTTTGGGCATAAAATAAACATCGATAATTTTGACCCACACAATGTATTTTTGGCTATTGCTATAAAGCGACTTAAGACCGGTTTTGTGCTCCAGGGTCACATATGCTAAATATTATTGATTTGGTTTAGTTTGAGAGAGGAGTTTCTTCCTGAAAAGTACTAACGGATTGGTTGAGGAACTAGAAAAGGAATCAGAACCATTAAATTCCTTACAATTCCCATTCCTAGTTTAGGAAAGGAAAAGAGGAAAAAGGAGCTTTAGTGTGTGTTCCAGCAGTCGAGTCCTGTCACACTTACAAACGTGATGATATTCTTTTTTTAATTTTATTGTTATTTTTTAATTTAATTTTATTATATTTATACACACACACACACACACACACACAGTGTATAAATATGTGCACATGGTTGACTTTTGATTCTTGTTGTTTTGATATTCAATTTAATTTAAATACTTAAAAACAAATAAATTGTGTGTGTGTGTGTGTATATACAGTATATAAAACATTCTTATTCTATTTTTTCTTAGTTTTTATTTTTCTCATTTGAATTTTATTTAAATTTCTCATTTGAATTAAATTTTTCGTTTTTATTTATAATGCCCACGGTTGACGAACAGTATTCCTCTGGACACTATGTCATATTATTAAAGATTTGGGATGCATTAATCCTAATTTTGCTTACTATATAGTACGGAACTATATAAATTATGATGTCAGATCAACTGGTCAGGGCTGTCTCCAGATCAGCGATGTGCTCTGTATGCCACGGCTGTTCGCTTATCAGTCATCACATCGTTGGATGCCGTTCTCAAACAGGTCAGCAAGTTTCAGTCGAGATACGGCCCCTATAGACCTGAGGGCATACCCGGACTCCTCTATTAAACAAACACACAAACTCATGCGGATGCCTGTTAAAAATCGCAATCAGGGGGGCAGATGTTAAAGAACTATTCTTTCTTTTTCGCTCTTTTCCATTGTTTTTAAATAAAGATGCTAATCCATGGTTATGGCTTCAGTCTCGAGCGCGTTGAAGTAAAAACAAAAGCCAGAAACAAACATCTTGATGTCAGGCAGAGGGCTGCAGTGTTCAACAGACAAAGCATTATTGTTTCCTGCTCTACCGCCCCTCCTGAATCTGGCACCGACTCCGCTTTGGCAGACAGTGTCATGCAGATCAATTCAAAAGATAATACAGTATGTTCAAACCTGTTTTTGTCTGCGCGCGGGGCCCTAAGAGCGAACGTGTGTGGGGTTTGTGGATATACAAGTGAAGGAAT